TAATGCATTTTTATTAAGAACTTTTCTCTAAAAATAGCTATTTTCCTTTTTTAGTTCAATGACAGGATGAAAAGAGTTAATTCAAGTTGAATTGTGTCAGAGAACTGTTTAAAAAATCATAATTGAGAGAGTAGAACAGTGCCAAGGTATTAACAATTGTATGTGTAAGAATAAAATTGCAATGCTCTACAAATGTTTCTACTAAAGAAGCAAGAAATTTATATATCCAAAACACTTTACTAAATCTTACCAAAGCAACTACATATTGATAATGAAACCATTCGAGTTTCCAGCTAAATATTGTTCTTTGGCTGGTATTTATATCATAGCTAAGAAAAACTATTGAGAAGATGGAGCTTGGCATATGACTCTCACATATAAGCACATTAACAAGCCTATATTAGGGGTGAGTCGAACTGTGCAAATACTTCTAGAAATTTCCCTTGTGTGTTTTATTCAGTTATTAGGAGAATTCAAAGCCTCAGCTCTGCCACATATATCCAGCCCAGATGCTCAAAGTACTTGATTTCACCCAAGGGCAAAATTCCATATTCAAGACTAGATCTAGAACAGATGGCCACTCCACCTCTTCTATAATCTGGCTGTGCCCTATGAATAAATGAAAAGACTAAAGGGAACATAGATTCCACAATAGGGCAGAACAAACATTATTACTATTAATACTACTGATGATACTTATTAAGTACTTTTGTGTACATGATACCCTAATAAGCTCTGCATGGAATGAGTCCTGATAATCATAACATTCCATGTAGGAACTATGTAATTCCTTAAGTATGCTTATTAAGGAATACACATAGTTCTTGCCTTTCATGGAGTTTTTAATCTGAGCAGTGACTATGTGTCCAGTACCATTCTTGAAGCAGATATAAAATCAATTCCTCAAGAATTTAATGAAGCCTGTTATGTGCCAGTACTCTGAGGATAACAAATGATAATATTTCTGTCCTTAAGTTGGCTATAATCTACTTGAAACAACAACAACAAAATGTAAACATTTACAATTGTGTCAATATATGTGATACATATAATAAATGTTCAGGAGGTAAATGAGAGTCATACATATCTATTACTTAGGTAATAGTTGATAACTTTGATAGCAATTAGCTACTGTTCTGATCTTTAGTGGTAACTTATTTAAATCCTCACTTCATGTATGTTCCTTTATTACACTCATTCTATGGATGGGGGAACTGAGGCACAGAGGATTCAGTCACTTGCTGGAGATCACACAGTTAATAAGTGGAAGAGTTGGGCTCTATCCTCTTAATCATAGAGTTGAAGGAGGGATTAATGAAAGAGGAAGACCCTGTGCTAAATCTGAAAGGGGACAGCAATGAAAGGAGGGGATTTTGGATGAGAAGGAGAATTTGAGCAAAGGCAGGAATAAGTATGATATGGGAGAGAGTTGGAGAGTAGTGGGATAAAACATTAGATTCTAGTTAGCATATTAGAGAAGGTCTTAAATCTTAAAAAAGGTAGAGGTGTAGATCTAACACAGCTAATACAGCAGGATTTAGGAAGTTGCTGATGATATGCTGCCTCAGATGGTGGCTCCTGAGTATTTCTGCCTAGTCCTAGGGCCATATGGGCAAAGAATGATGATCATCCCTTTTTAAAGACCCAAATTTCCAGTCTTTTGCCAAATATTCAGTCTTTGCCAACAGATATATGGTTTTGGCATTAAATTGCTGGTGGCCCTTTGCTGGAAAAATAGATTAAACACCCGAAGTGGTGTCAGTATCAATCACATATTGGCACTAAAACACAGTTAAGAAAAATAAATATCAAATAACCATTACAAGTCTTGAGTTGCAAAGGGTGTTACTAAATGCCAAACTGATAAGCATTTTGTTATATGGATTCAATTCTTAAAAAAATTTTAAAGGTACTATTTTGAAACTTTTTTTATGCATAATAATCACTTTAGTTAACTTGTAAAATGCAGATTATTGAGCCCCACCCCAACTGGGATTTTGATTCAATAGATTTTGGGCCCAATATTATGTATTTTATTTAAGTGCAGTGGAATCAGATGATTCTGATACAAAGGATCTAAATACCGAACTGAAACAAAATATAAAAGTTCTGAAAGAGTACTGAAGATAGCTTATTCATATTGTTATCTTTCCCCATTATGTAATCTTTAAAATGTTATTTAAATTAAAAGTCATAAAACCACAGCAATCCTTAATTCATCTCTTAAAACATCTAACTCTATATCATATTGGTTCATGTTGGTGAACAGTATGAAGGACTAATATGTCACCTTGAATAACTAGAATTTAGATACTCACTTCATCATTAAATAGCATACATATTGTTAGACATAAATAAAAAGTTTGTTTTTTAAGATAATTTTTGCTAAACTACTTTGTGTGGAGAAAGATACCCCATTACCTTATCATGAGGGTTATTAAACTTCATCAAGTGTATAATAATCAGATATCTAGTCACAAAATTCATTTTTCTACTGTAAAAACTTCTGATTCTCATTCGTCCTTCTTTTTTAAAAATGCCACATTCAAAGAATATTTCAGGAAAAACAATACTTGGCATTTTGAATAAATCTCATATTTCATGTTTTATATCTCAGCTAAAAATGCAACAAACAAAACGCTAAGCTTAATGTAAAACAAGAAAACAAAGTTTATGAAGCTGACAGTCATAATAAAAATAGTTCTACATCATGAGTAAAATCTTGACAATATTTAATGAGAGTGTTCATCATAACTTAAGCAGTGAAACTATTCAACAAGCACTTAGAAGAAAATGACATTTTAAATATGAAAAAGGTAAATTTTGTTTACTAAAATTAATGCTTTGTAATCATTTAGGGTCTTTAGAGGCAGGCATTATTGGCTTGACTTCATACCAGCTGAAACTGTTAAAAGAGATAAAATACTTCATTCCATTCATTTTATAGATATTTTCTAAAATGAGAAAACTCCCAAAGTATCCATGATTTCTAAGGAAGCAAAGTAAGAGATTTCCTATAAATGGGGTACTATTGACAGTGGCATAAAATGATGTAAGCTCCTATTTTTAGAGAAATGAAGAATATGGTATTATAGCTGAGAGTCAGTTATTTGCCAACTTATATTTAATCTACAAGCCCAGGAATGTTATTACTTATAAATAAGACCAATAACTAAGGAGATTTAAAAGTATTCTATTATATGTTGATGCTAACAATATATGCCAAACTACTGACCCCCCCATGTAGAGAGATAAACAAACAAAAATAACTGATGTGAGAATACTAACATGTTACTAAATGTAAGATAATATTAATTATAATAAAAATTATAATATATATAACATATTATGTAATAATACAATTAGGGTTAAAAAAACTCTTAATATATAGTTAGCAAGGTCTAAACAAGTGGTTCAGGTGATGGTGGGGTTATGTGGGTAAGAAGATATTAAGTGATGATGTAATTTTATTCCATAATAGGATATTAAACTTTCATTTTATAAAGATTCTATACATTGAAAATATTTTTACATATGTAAATAAGTATCTACTGTTATAATATGCCAGTTTTTAATAATACATACCATCTGATGGAAAAAATAGCACAAGGAGCTCAACCTCATCAAAGATTGAAAGAAAAGAAAGAATATTGTGATTTCAGGAGAAAAGGGAGAAAGGAAAGAGTTACTTTCCCACTATAGTAAAACTGTTTTAGTTCTTATTTTTAATGCCAAAAGGACTCCTATTAAAATTTCATATTCCTAATGAAAATTTAATTTGATTAGTGATCATTATTGCATTCCTACTCTTTGCAAGGCACCATGGTACATGTTGTAGAGGTATAGATTAATAAAACATTGACTTTGCCCTTAAGGAACTCACTATAATTTATCTAGTGGCAATAGATTTGTTTACTAACAATTATACAAGGAAGAATAAAAGGCACAAAACAGCGTTCTAAACAACTCACAGTGGGATTTAAAAAGGCAGTGGGATTAAAAAGGGCAATCACCAAATTCCCAGCCCTCAATGCTTGGTACTTCTGAATCCAGAGCCTCTCTTCCTCAGTTTCTCCAGAAGGGTGAAGGGAGGAATACTATTGACTGCATGGGACAGAAGTATAGACCAAAGGTCTAAAAGTTCCTTATAAAGACTTTCAAATAAACTACCTGATTTATACCTGTATCTGCCCCTCCATCATTCTCAGCTTTGGTGGTTCCTTGTGCAGTCAATTCCTAAGCCTTTCTAGGGCTCTTTTGCTTTTAGATAATTTCTAGATGGTACACCTCTGCAAGCACTTTAATTTGGCTTCTTTTTGTTTTGCTAAGTCATTTGCCATTTTTCTATCTATTCCATGTCTTTTTTTCTTTTAGCGTATTATGGGGGTACAAGCGTTAAGGTTACTTATATTGCCCATGCCCCACTCTCCCCTCAAGTAAGAGCTTCAAACATGTCCATCCCCCAAACGTTGCACATCTTACTCGTTGTGGTTGTATATACCCATCCCCTCCTAACCCCTCCCACCCTTCCGAAACCCGATAAATATTACTCCCATATGTCCACTTAGGTGTTGATCCATTAATTATTCCATGTCTTGATAGTTTGTGAACTAGGGTTCAGATGTCTCCTAGTTTCACTGAACATGGAACAAGCTTTCAGTTGTTGTTCTTGCTTGAATTATTTCAAAAGGAGAGTAGAGTGTAAATGACCATTCTTTAATCTTAAAACTTGTCTTGATTACTTGACTACTATGATTTCATAACTAAATTGACATTATAAAAGAAATATTAATAAGAGAGTAGAAAATTTTAAATTTGAACTATAAAAATAAATCTTTTATAGAGAAATTTTGAGCGATGTGACAAATGGGGTTGGAGAAGGTGCTTTGTGCTTTAGGAAAGCAGAAAGAAACTTTAAAGTATTTCCAAAATCATTTAACGTAACCACTGCTTCTTTGCCTGAAGTATTGTATAAGTTAGTAAACCACAAATATTCAAACCTTCACAAATAGGGTGAACTCTTCCACTTTCTCATTGGCTAACAGCAATTTCTTCTGTGCACCTTCTAGGACCTGCTCACTTTGCAAAGCTAATCCTTGAAGCTGTTTAGATGCTGCTGTTTCAATTTCTGCCATTGCAGATTCAGTCTCATTTATTTTTGATACGAGGAGAGAAAGTTTGAGATCCTGAAAAAGATAAGTAATCACAAATTTAAAAATACTTAAAAAAACAGATTTTGAAGAGTTAGTTATACATGTCATATAAGGAAAAGGTTTTGTTATTCTCTCTATATATGTATTTATTAGTTGGGTAAAATAAATGATTATTTTCATTTATTTTCAATAAAATATCCTAAGCAAATATTTTCATATATTTACCCTCCAAATTTATTTATGCCTTTTAAAGATTATAAATCATTAAAGACATGGAAGTGATTTTAGACCAAAAGATCCTATATATCAAATAAAAATTAGTTATAAAAATTAGTTATATATCAAATAAAAATTTAATTAGTTTATAAGTTTAGGCAGACCTATAAAATTTATATTCACTTGTATAGATGTCAGCGCTTAACAATAGTTTTCATTTATTAGAAATTACCACAACAAACAAAACTTATTTTCTTGAGTAAAGTACTATCTTTAATATTAAACAAATTCTTAAAGATACAAATGCAGTTATCTGAAATAAGTAGCTTGTAGTAGTTTGGGGGAGAAAAAAGAACAATATTACAAATTAAAAAAAAAATCATTATATTCCACCCCTAGGCCTAAAAGCATACCTTTCTTTCTAACTCATCTTTTGTTTTCTGATACATCTGTTCATACTGTGACTTCTCTTTTACAGCAACATTAAGTCTTTGCTTTAGCGAATCAATTGATACCTTCTTGTTGGAACATTCTTCAGTTAATGTCTTTACCTACAGTAAAAGCATAAAGGTAACTATTATTGGTAAAGACACTTCAAAAGTATACTAGGAATGTATTTGTTTCAACGTAACTAAATAAATGAGTGAATAAATCTAATACCATATATTTTCTCATAAATGCCATCAAATTCAATTATTCTATTTGCAGAACTCATATTGTGAATGAAACTAACAATCCTTAAATCAATAACAAAACCCAAAATTGCACAAAAAGTGTACGAATACTAGTATGTATAGTCTTCCACATAATAACACAATATTAATGTTAACTACATATCCTTTAATTACTAACCTAAACTTCCTAAGATAGGAGATGATTGTTTGTGATCCCGAAACAAGCCAAGTTATGGATAACTTTAGATTGTATTCTTCAAAATAATATAAATGCAGTGCACTCTGCACCCATTAGTTGTGAGTTTACCCACACCCACAACCTCCCTCCCACTTGACCAGCACCCAGTGAATATTACTTCCATATGAGCATCTTTGTAAAAAAATTAAAAATCTATTAGTGGTTGTTTTCTCCCTTTTAGATATATCCCAAGAGCAATGTATAATCAAAATACAGTGTTTTGATGCCACCTGAAATAATTATTCTCTATTTGATTATGACTTTAATTAATAAAAAGTTCATTTTTCTTGGCCTTTTTATTAGGAAAAAAATATATAACATATAACATATATTTTTAGTATAAAATTAAACAGAACATTTTTATTATACATTTCAAGGAATAACAAAAACAAAGTTTTTTCTTCAGTTTAATACCACTAAAGATATATGATTACTTATACAAAGATTCTAAGGCTGTATCTGAAATAATTATTGAAGTTAAAAAATTAGTAAAATTGAAAGGATAACATTGAAAAGCCATACATAGCAATTTTACTTTATGAGGGTATATGGAGGAAAAAGAGAAGAAAATCCATTTGGATTTGTCATGCTCATGTAAAATTTTCTCTCCTAAATCCATCTGAGCTAATAGATACTTACATTTTCATCTTCAACAGGAAAGTAAGGGAGATTTTCTCTCAGGAGTGGATAACATTTAGTGAATGCCAAAGCACAAGCTGCTTCATGAGTTGTGCAAATAGCACCTTTTTTTTTTAAAACAAAAACTTTCTAGTTTGCAGTCATATATTATACTACTATTTTAAATATAACTTCCTTCCCATGTATACTAAATTAAGTGTATAGAACAAAAAAATACACTTTTTAATGAACAGATAGTTATTGGCTATCCTTTCTTTCATTTAGAAATATAAGCTTGATTCTATCATAAATTTGGAGTTTTAAATAAAACAAAATAAAACTCTGAGTAAAATATAATTATGTACACAGAAATATTAAGGTTTTTAAAATTAAACATGATTATCTTCTCCTGGAATGTTTACAAATAGAAACAAAATGTGTGGCTATATTATGTACGAAATTTTGGAGTATTGAATTTTAAAATAAATAATGTAGTTTCAAAGCAAATAATGAAATTTTGTAACAGTAAATATATATCCTATGAGTATTTTCTATGTTTATTAGTACTGAATATTTGAGTTAAGAAAGTGAATACAATGAGAAGTAATATTTGTAATGTCAGTGAACATAAAAATTGATACCTTTTTATCAAGATTTTCTAACATTTCAGTAAAATTCTCATTACTTTCCAAATTTACTCTCTGTCGAAATTTCAAGTCCTCTATCAAATGTCTTTTCATAGTTATATCCCTCTCCATTCGAGACATCCTTGAAAAAAAAAAGGTATTTTATCAAGAGTGGTAGAAAATACTTTAACGGTGGTGATATCTTACATTTTATTCAATGTTATACATACTTATAGTTTTTAAATGCTATCTGATATTAACGAAATTGTAAATTAGTAAGATAAATTGCATTGGATAAGATATTATTCTTTTAATATTTTGAGTACTTGTAAAATCTATAAGTTAGATGTGACTTAGTTATCATAGTATTACATACATGCATTAAAACAAAATATAAGAATTGAGAAAGATTAATGTACTTTATGAAAACAGGATTATTGTATTTAAATTACATTTTTACAATGCTAAGAAAAATTAAAGTGCTATTTAGAGATAACTAAAAGCGTAACAATGATAAGAAACAACCCTGTTCTTCAATAAACGAATCTAAACTCTTGTAACATCATACAAAAAACTAAAATTAGGCTTGATATCTTTTAATTTAATATCATTTGGGAATAAATTCAAATATCACATTAGCATAAGTTGATAAAAAATTAAGTATAAAATGGTAGATGCAATGACAACTACTACTATTACTATTGCTGCACTGCTGCCGCCACTACAACTATAATAAGAATGACAACTGCTAACATTTATTAAATGCTTACTATGGGCCAGTTACTGTTGTAAGTGCTTCACATGTATTAACTCATTAAGAGTTCTGTATTAAGTGTTTCTCTAGAGCCCTCATTGTTGAACACTAAGCAACACTGCATCTTAATCCATAAATAAACTCCAAGATATTCTCAGTTCAAAAAATTGACCAACCTTCTTGTCTTACAGTTTTATCTATTAATATAACTTTTAAGTGATCTACATTTTATAATGTGGTGTACAGGTATGTATGTGAGATACATATATCTTAAATTTATCACTGACAATTGGAATTCTAAGCATGTTATCACTTCTAAGCTGTAGTATAGATATAAAATGTTTAGAAAGAAAATAATTTTGATTCAACAGGATAGAGTATTTAAAATCTTTCTATTAATAAACAGCAAAAGTAAAAACTTTCATAACCTCCAGTTATTTTAAAAACAAATAAACTTTCTTTTTTCCACCATAGCTTTATAAACTTAGGCATTAAACTCAATATAAGTATAGATCTATATATGTTTAGAGGGTCACATAATTGCCACATTTTCAAGTTTTCATTCATAGTCTTGAGGCCATTAATTTATATTGATTCAAAATTAAATATGTTTAATAAGGGAAATCTAAATTTAAATATTTTCACCCTCATTAGGAAATAGTAACTAGCTTTCAATTAATCATGCTATATGTAGTATTCCTTAAACTTTCATCTTATGTAGGCTTAAATTTGAACTAGGAAGGAAAACTTCATTATTAATGACATTGGTATTGTTTCTTGGGGCTTAATGTTTAATAGAGTTGACTGCCACTAGGTGGCACCAAATACAATGGATAGAAATAAAAAGACCATACTTTTCATGGATTTCCTTTATGTGTTCTTCCTTTGCTAGGAGTTCACATTTCAGAGATTTCACATTTGATGACTGTTTAGTGAGTTCATTAGTTGCATTCTAGATTAAAAATAGACATAAATTTAAATATACCTTTCAATCTTGGTCTAAAACAGCCTAAAAACAAATACCATTATCAAAAAGAGCAATACATTAACAATATTTATGATAAACAATAAGAATGAACATTTTAATATTTTTAAATCTTTTATTTTATATGCTTTAATAAAGATAATATAGTAATACTAAAGGTTTTATACAACATGCCAAACTATAAAGAAACACAATCATTTAACGATTGCAGAATATATGCCCAAAATACATTTACAGGAAATAAAAACTGTCCTAGTAAAATGTCAATGTGTGAAAAATTAAAATTTTAATGATTTAAGAAGATCACTTAAAATTAATGCTGGATTTACTAACAACTTGTAAGAGACTAAATATCATCACAAATGCTTTCCTGTTTATCAAAATGTGGAATCTATTTCCCAATCCTTTGAATCTAGTCTGCTCTGTGATTTCTTTGATTAAAAGAATGTGACAGAAATGACATAGTGTAAGTTTGAGATGCTGGGCCTCAAAGCTTTGTAGCTTCCACCTTTGCCTTCTTGTAGTGATGCCATGGAAGCAAGGAAGACAGTTGAAAGGCCACATGGAAGAGTACCAGGGTACCCCACCTGATAGCCAGCAGACCAACTGTCAGATCTGTGAGTGGGGCTATCTTGGACCTTCCAGGCAGGTAAATCTTTGGTTTAGAAGAATGCAGGCATGTAACGCAGCCCAGAAGAGACAGCTAAAGAACTTCCCAGTCAACTTAATTATACGAAAGAATCAATTGTTGTTGATTTAAGTCACATTTTGTGATAGTTAGAGAATAATAACTAAAGGGGAAACTTATGAATACTAAATATTTCTTTACTTATTAATAATACTATGTATCATTAAAGTATTTACAGATAATTACTAGTTTTTTTGAAGGAGAGCAGGTTTGTGGTATTTGTTGTCTGCACAACATAGGATCCTGAGGTGAGGATTAGAGGACAACTAATTTTCAATTTTGACTCAAGTTCCCATTAAATATGTAATCTGAGATATAACTTAGTCTTTTTGGTGGTATTTTAGCTTTTCTACCTATAAGATAGTGTTGACATACATTAATCCATTTAAGTTTTAAAAAATATTCAACTAATATAAATAGAAGAAAATATAATGGCTTTAAAAATATTTGGAGTAGTTATTTCTCTAATCTTTCTAAACCACCATAAATTGTCTCTGATGGAACTATTTTTAGGATTGGATGTTTTACTAATGCTAAAAAAAATTTAAATTTGAAATGGCGAAACAATTAATTGGAGTACATGTGAGTCAAATTCATCAGACTATCTTTAAATACCTCATTCATATAACATATACAAATACAATTTTGAAATAATTTTATTTTTTCATGAAATATGGTGTTAAAATTTTTCTTAAAAACCCAAAGCTGTCTCAACATGGCAAATGCTTTTGAATGTTGTAAGTTTTGATCAAATGGGTGTGTAATGCAATCTAAATTTCTACCATATTTTGCACGTTTACAGTGATGTATAATGTCTTATTTCTAGCAATGCCAGAATATGTTCCACACTAGTAAATGTGTCAAAGAAATGAAGCTTTTGTTTTAATCATTAATCTAAAATTCTTTCTTGAATGATTGTTCATTCAGTTAGAAATATGAACATCTATGATTATGTTATGATAATAGTGCTGTTAATATAATATTACATTATAAATATTATCATGACATTAATTATACATGATATAATACTATATATATACTATATCACTATACTATAATACAGTGATACCTTTAGGAACTATTGTGATATAAAAGTCTACTTACCCCTACTCTAAATGGTCCCAGACTGTTGTTTTTCTAGTTTTTATTTACCTTAATAATTTCATATTTCCTTTTTCTTTCTTTCAATCTGTTGGTCAGAATTTTTTTTACTTCTGTCAATATTCCTGCCTAAAAACAATCATCCTTCCCCTTAATATGTACACTTCTAATATTCTGCTTTTTAGGTATTTTCTGCTGAAAAGTAACATAAATAATCTTAGAAATATATTTAAAATAAAAGACAACGGGCAGTAAATAAAGCCTGACAGTATCTTCAATGGAATAAATTAAGTGAATTTTAAGATAGCTGTTTGATTATTTTCTGTAATTAGACTTAAGGCTGTATTTTATGTAGCTGAAAAGGTTATAACTCTGACTTCTGGATAATTCAGCAATTGCTGAATTATAATAAATAAAATAATGCCACATTAAGATACACTTTTGCCAGTACTCTATGTCTGACAGCTATTTCATTTAATCCTCAAAAACCTGTATAAGATTGGTAGAAAGGATATCCTGCTTTAGATCTCTAGAGAAGTTAAGTGATTTCTTCAATCAGGTCTTACAAGAAGTTAGTGGCCAAAAAGTGATGATCCAAAACCCAGGTCCTTTGTCCCTTTTCCATTCCCTACTACACAATATTTATCTGCAGCATGACCTAAAATCTGATATAAAACACAAATTTCAAAAGTGTCACAATGGTAAGATTCTATCTGGTTAAAGCTTTCCTATATTAAGTTTACTGAATATGCTTTAAAATTTGCAGTATAATGATTAAGAATGAGGGCTCTGGAGCCAGATGGCTTGAATTGCAATCTCAACTCTACCACTTAGCAGCTGTGTAACCTTGGACATGTAACTTATTATTTCTGTGTCTAGTTTTCTACCTGTAAAATAGTGGTAGTAGCAGAACCTATTAGAGGTTTGAAATGAGGATTAAATGAATTAATACTTATAAAACACTTAGAATAGGTCTAACAATAGATTACACACAAAGAAACAGTAGTGTAAAAATTACTATCCTTCACTATTCTTAACTTCCTGGGAAACTAGAAGAGAACATGGAATCTATAAAAATGAGTGAAAGACTATATGATCATCTCAATAGATGGAGAAAAGGCATTAAATAAAATCCAGCACCACTTTGTGATAAAAATCCTCAACAACTAGGCACAGAAGGAAGAAACCTCAAAATAATAAAAGCCATATATGACCAACCCATGGCTGACATCATACTGAATAGGGGAAAGCTAAAAGGATTATCCCTAAGACTGGAGTAAGACAAGGATGCCAGTGTCACCACTCCTATTCAACATAGTACTAAAGTCTTAGAGCAATCAGGCAAGAGATAGAAATAAAGGGCATCCAAATCAGGAGAGAGGAGGTCAAACAATCCCTGTTTCCTGATGACATGATCTGATACCTGGAAAACCCTAAAAACTCCACCAAAAGATTCTTAGAATCATAAATAAATGCAGTAAAGTTTCAGGTTACAAAATTAATGTACACAAGCAATAGCATTTCTATATACTCATAACAGTCAAGATGAGAGTCAAATCAAGAACTTAGTACCATTTACAATAGCTACAAAGAAAATAAAATACTTAGGAATACATTTAACCAAGGAGGTGAAAGATCTCTACAAGAAGAACTACAAATACTGATGAAAGAAATCAGAGATGACACAAACCAATGGAAAAACATCCCATGCTCATGGATTGAAAGAATCAACATTGTTAAAATGTCCATACTTCCCAAAGTAATTTACAGATTCAAGGCAATTCCCATCAAAATTCCAACATCATTTCTGATGGACTTAGAAAAAATAATCTTAAAATTCATATGACCAAAAAAGATCCCAAATAGCCAAAGCAATCCTGAGCAAAAAGAACAAATCTGAAGGCATCATAGTACCTAATTTCAAATTATACGCCGAAGCTATAGTGACCAAAGTAGGATGGTAATAGTATAAAGGCAGACACATAGACCAATGAAACAGAATGGAGAACCCATAAATACAACCATATGGCTATGACCAAACTGATTTTTGCAAAGCTGACAAAACATATACTAGGGAAAGAATGCCCTATTCAAGAAATGGTGCTTAGAAAACTGGATAACCACATGCAGAAGAATGAAACTGGATCCCTATCTCTCACCATATACAATAATTAACTCAAGTTGGAATTAAAGATTTAAATAGATGTCCTGAAACTATAAAAATTCTAGAAGAAAACATGGGAAAACTCTTTTAGACTTTGGCCTAGGCAAAGAATTTATGAGGAAGACCCCAAAAGCAAATACAGCAACAACAAAAATAAATAAATGGGACTTAACTAAACTAAAAAGTTTCTGCACAGCAAAGGAAATAATCAGAGTAAATAGACAACCTGAAGAATGAGAGAAAATATCTGTAAACTATATATCTGACAAAGGGCTACTATCAAGAATCTACAAAGAACTCCAGTAGATCAGCAAGAAAAAGACAACCCCATCAAAATGCTGGCAAAACACACAGACTCTTCTCCAAAAAAGATAGACAGTAGCCAACACATGTATGAAAAAATGCTCAATACCACTAATTATCAAGGAAATACAAATTAAAGCAAAAATGAGATACCACCTTACCCTTATCAGAATCAATATTATTAAAAAGTCAAAAAACAATATATGTTGGCACAGTTGTGGTGAAAAGGGAATGCTTATACTGTTGGTGGGAATCTAAACTTGTACAACTGCTATGGAAAATGGTATGGAGATTCCTAGAAGAACTAAAAGTAGATCTATCATTTGCTATAGCCATACTGCTACTGGGTATCTATGCAAAGGAAAAGAAGTTATTTTATTAAAAAGACACCTGCACCTGAATGTTTATTGCAACAGAATTCACAATAGCAAAGATATGGAATCAACCTAAGTGCCCAACAACTGATTAGTGGATAAAGAAAATATGATATATATATCTACCATAGAGTACTACTCAGCCTTAAAAAGGAATGAAATAATGTCTTTTGCAGCAACTTGGATGGAACTGGAGACCATTACCCTAAGTGAAATGGAATGGAAAAACAAATATGTTATATGTTCCTACTTATAAGTGGGTCCTAAATGAAATATATATATATATATATATATACACACACTACACACACACACACACACACATATAGAGCAGTAATGGACATTGGAAACTAAGAAGGGAAGAGGGTGTGGTGGGACAATGAATAAAAATCTACCTATTGAGTACATATTTATTATTCTGGTGACAGGTACACTGAAAGCCCTGACTTCAGCATGAGACAATTTATCCACATAACAAAAAACACTTGTACAGCAACAACAAAAATAAATAAATGGGACTTGATTAAATTTAAAAAGCTTCTGCAAGGCCAAAGAAATAATTAAGAGAGCAAATAGATAACCTACAGAATGAGAGAAAATATTCACAAGCTATATATCCAATAAAGGACTAATAACCAGAATCTACAAAGAACTCAAGCAAATCAGCAAGAAAAAACAAACAACCCTATTAAAAAGTGGGCAAAAGACATCAACAGAAGCTTCTCAAAAGAAGATAGACAAATGGCCAACAAACATATGAAAGAATGCTCAACATCACTAATAACCAGGGAAATGCAAATCAATATCAAAATGAGATTTCACCTTACCCCAGTCAGAATGGCCTTTATTAAGAAATCAAAAACCAACAGATGCTGGCATGGATGCAGAGGAATGCATATGTACTGTTGGTGGGACTGCAAATTAGTACAACCTCTGTGGAGAACAGTATGGAGATTCCTAAAGAACTAAAAGTCAACCTACTGTTTGATACAGCAATCCCACTACTAGGTATTTACCCAAAGGAAAAGAAGTCATTCTATCAGAAAAATATCTGCACACAAATGTTTATTGCAGCACAGTTCACAATTGCAAAGATGTGGAATCAACCCGAATGCCCAACAATTCATGAGTGGATTAACAAAATATGGTATATGTATACCATGGAATAATACTCAGACATGAAGAAGGATGACATAATATCTTTTGCGATAATTTGGATGGAACTGGAGACCATTATCCTAAGTGAAGTATATAAAGAATTGAAAACAAACACCACATGCACTCACTATTAAATTGGAACTAACCAATGAGCACACCTGTGCATAGAGGTAGGTAAAACTCAACAGAAATCAATCAGAGGGGGAGGGGAGGTGGAGACAGGCAAAAACCTACCCTAATGGGTACAATGTACACTATCTGGTTGACAGGCACTCTTATAACCATGACTCAAGAATTATAAAAATGATTGACATAACCAAAAACATCTGTACCCCTGTAATACTTTGAATTAAAAAAAAATTTGTATTCCCTAACTTTTTTGAAATAAACAAAACAAATATTTGTATAATATATTTAAAAAATAAAAGAATAAAATAAAATGAAAACACTTTCATACTATTTTCCTAAAAAAAGGAAGTCAAAAACTCGCAAAATAAATTGGAATATTATTAAATCTAAATTATATAAAAATTAAAATAAATATAAACAATGAATGTATGTATCACTCACTGGAAGGAATTTATAAATCTCTGAATATTTTATTATCTGTCTACATGGAGCTGGGTGCCTTGATGTCTAACATGTGTAAAACTAAAGATATAGAAAATGCACATCAGCACTCTAATGGCATTGAATGAACCAGGGACATCTGAAAAGTACATATAAGAAATTACATAGGAAAGTCTAATACCAATTGGATAGTATAAAAAAGATATATGAAGACCTTTAATATATTCAAATCTAACCCATTTTCTTAATTAAGTATAAACACATTAAGTAGAAAATAAGTTACCTCTTAGAAAATCATTACATTTGTAGTTTGTTATCTTTTATGGACTAAATTGTATTTCCCTTCCTTACCCCTCAAATGCATATGTTGAAATTCTCACCTAACCCTCAGTACCTCAGAATATGGCTATATTTGAAGATAGAGCCTTTAAAGAGGTTATTAAGGTAAAATGAGGTCATTAGGGTGGGCCCTAATTCATTACAACTGGTGTCTTTATAAGAAGGGTAAATGAGGACACAGAGACACACAGAGGATAGACCATGTGAAGACACGAGGAGAAGACAGGCATCTACAAGCCAAGGAGAAAGGCCTCAGGAGAAATGAAACCTGTTGACACCTTGATCTTGGACTTCCAGTCTCCAGGAGTGGGAGAAAATAAATATTTGTTGTTTCAGCCAACCAATCTTTGCTATTTTGTTATGGAAGCCCTACAAACTAATATGGGAACAGAAATTTGTAGTAGCAGAGAATATTATGTAAAGTTACCTGGTCTTCTAGGAAATTTCTATATTAAAACATGAAACAAGACAAAAGTAAAGATTTACCCTTTTTGTCCCTATGCATTTTGGTCAGCGTAGTGCTCCAAGACGCTAGGTTAGATATGAACAATGTCACTTTAAACTAAATTGCTTTAGGCATTCTCATTAGTCTTACCCAGGCATCCTCAAACTATGGCCCACGGGCCACATGTGGGTGTTTTTGCCCGTTTGTTTTTTTTCTTCAAAATAAGATATGTGCAGTGTGCATAGGAATTTGTTCATAGTGTTTTTAAACTATAGTCCGGCCCTCAAACGGTCTGAGAGACAGTGAACTGGCACCCTGTTTAAAAAGTTTGAGGACCCCTGGTTACCTTTCCAACTTACACATTCCTCCAAAGCAAGAGGATATTTATATATGGAAAACCATAATGCAAATAACTTACAGATACTCACATGGACCTGTTATTACCAAAATTATGTTAGACCATCTGTAATAAGTAAAATAAGTAAAATATTAATCAACTTAAAACTTAATTTTTAAAATGTTATAAGTCAGATTATTAAATAATACTGGATCTAGCATCCTATTTCATCTCAGTGAAAACTAGTTATGTTAGAATCATGAAGACATATAAATGAAGAATCACAGAACTATGAATTATAGTCAATGTATTAGATAAGATCAAAGACTATATGAATGATCTTATCTTTTGTATATGAAACCTAAACACTAAAATGTTCACTTTATACATTTTATCGTACTTTTTCAGAGACAGAAACACATTTTAAGAAAAGATATATGCCCCCAAGTTGTAGTTATTTTTATCTCCCATTTCTAATATTATATAAGATGTTTAAACATACAAAATGTAGCTGAGGCAAGTTCTGCCATAAAAATTGTCTGAAGAAGATGGTATTCAAGAAGGCTCTTAACCAATGCCAGTTTGTATATCTGATTATTATTAATAAAGCAAAAATATTTTCAAGCAATGATACATTCATTTTTTAAATTTTATCCTATTAGTAATCCTACATGAAAAGATATTATTATTGGAGAGTATACATATCCTATTTGTATTGAAAATGACCACGAGTCTATTTGACAGTTCTATATAGTATTCCAGTACCCTCTTACACAGTTATTCCACTTCTAATACACTTTGTCCATTAACAATCAGGATTTTATTTCTGGTGATTCTTATTATTACTATGGTCCGATATATACTGACTGCCCTTTTAGCTTCCAGCTAACAATCCTCACTAAAAAAAAAAATAATTAAATATGTGAGGAATAAATGAGCTTGTTTTATAAGAAGCATAAAAATGAACTTTCCAATTAAAACTCACAAATCCTGTTTCTTACAAGATAATTCCTTTTAAACTAAGGTCGGCCTTACTTTTAAGTTGTTGACAGTATTACCTGGATTAGGTACAATTCTTTATAAACAAAAAGAACATTGATTTTTATTCTCACTCCCAGGTTTAAATTGCTGAAATCTATGACATCAACCCACCTTTGCTCTCTGCTGCTTCTCCCTCCTTCCCTGCACTTCCCTCCTCCTTCCCCATTTCCAACCCACAACAACCAAATTAAAATAGGAGCAAGTGTGTAGAGAAAACCAATTCTGTTTATGCTGTTACATGCTTGAAAGGATTCTGTTCAGCTGGGGGGAGGCATGAGGAGAAGAAAGGAGTTGAGTATTGCAGTGGAAGGCACCAACCAGTTTCTATCAGCTTCTAAGTGAGCTTTTTGTGTTGTCTTGTCATTTTTTTGAGAAAATACTATTATCAATTACCACATAAAAATCTACCAGTCTAAAACTGAATGATGAAGTTGAACACAGCATTAATAATTTTTCAGTTATTTATACTTTAATTTACTTTTATTAGAATGCATTCGTGTTGATATAAACATGACTTTGAGGATTGAGTAACATAGGTTTCCACGCACAGTCAACTTTATAATCACCTTTAGTTTACACTGCAGTTGCTTAAATTCCAAATCCATGCTCCTTGTAGGACCAAGTGATGTAACTTGTATCCGTGAAACTGTTCCCCGGGAAACTTCTTCTGCTAAACTTGTGATGTCAGATGAGGATTCCAATTTCTTTAATAAATCTTCTTTTTCTTTCCGAAGACTAGCCAAATCCAAATTTAGCTTCTTGTTTTTTAAAAAAGAAAAGAAATATAAATATACGATAAAAGTAACAATATTTAATCTAACAATTATCAGCATAAGATTCTACAGGTAGGAAAATGCTAAAAAAAAAAAAAGAACTGAAATTAATTATAGCTATTATAAAAGTTTCACAAAAATTCTAACCTCTGTTAGATTTTGCTTAAGATTGTAGGGCTTGTAAAATTAAAACAAAATGGACTAGCTATAATCAATATCTTTTAGTTGGCTGGTCTTTACTCAGGATGCACTATTTCTTTACCTTCACATATACATGGGTGAGCCAGAGATTCACACATTTGATAACCTTGACTTCAGGGCTGATGTAGTACTTAACTGGTAAAAGCCAAGCTGGAGCAGGACAGGATAACAGATGTTAGTTGTTTATTCCACTGGGTAGGTCTTACCACCCTACATAGCAGCCAAAATGCTTCTCATTTAGCAACATAAATGTTAAGTCTAATTAACAGACAAAGCTTGTTAGAGATTTAGTCCAAATAAATAGTGTGCAAACTTGCTGTTTTATGCACTTGATTGATTATTGGCAAGTCTTGTCTGTAATGTTAGGTAGAATTGCACTAAAGTCCTTACATTTGATTTTTTAATAACCTAAACATTTTGCTAAATTACATAATAGTAATGTTTGTATGAAGGAGTGTAAAAGAAACCATCTTAATGTTAGCCCTTCTCATTCACCAATCTATAGTCAGCATAATGTCACCAAACTGTAATGGCATAACAACTCAGAGCTCCTTAAGAGAGTAACTGCATTACTATTTTATTATTGCAAAGAAGCTTATATGGTAGTTTAACATAAGGTGCAATTAGGCAAAATGATACTGAAATCTCTCAGAGGGAAAAAAATCTTTCTTTAAGAATTCCAATTAGAAATAGTGAAAGATATAGCTCAAGTGTACAGTAATAGAAATGTGAGACATGTTACTTAAGTATTAACACTATATTCAAAACACAACTTCTAGAAACTATATCAACAAATCCATAATTACATATGTATTTGTATAGGCATGTACATATTGTTAAATATAAATATTTCAGATCATGGATTCAAAACTGGAGCTTTGATATATTTGAGGTTAAACCATTTTGGTGAAAAACAGTATGTTTTTGTGAAAAAATTATTTCTTTAGCTATATTTTAGCCAAAATGCATTGTTATATAGATTTTCAGGAAATACTTGTTCATGAATTGTCCCAAAGGTACCTGATAATTAATGTCTAAAAGTAAACTCATAATTTCCTTAAACCTAAAAATCTTCCTGGTTATCATCCATGCTTGAAGCCATCTCCTTTCCTATTTATTAATTATCTATGTTCAGTCAATTCCCAGTTTATACAAATTACATAATGTTTCTCATATTCATTCCTTCTGCCACTCTCAAAATGCAGACTCTCATTATCCCACTATAAGTATTGCAGTAGCCTTTCCTCTTTCTACCATCTTTCCCACCACCTTTTATACAACTTCCTAAAATAACGTGACCTGTTACTCCTTTATTCAAAGACCTTCAGGGGTTCTTCACTCCAACAGACTAAAGATCAGATGTTTGTGGATACTAAAGCTCTCTAAGATTTATTGCCAATTTGTGTTTCAGTCAAGACATCACCTGAAGTCTAACTTGCCTGCCATTCCCCAAACCTGCCTGCCACTTCTATATCGATGACTCTATATATGCTGTCTCCTCCTGCTGAAATCTCTCTCATCCTTAAAGGGAAGTTTAGTGTTTCCTCCTTCATGAACTCTCTTCTCTGTTCTTCCCATGTGAACACCTCTGAGTGGCTTCTCTTATTTATTATACTTGTATGCCACTAAATTTCTGTATACTCCTTCTAGCTGGCAAATCCTGACACTATAAATATGCTCTCCACAGCTACGAAAGACCAAGCCAATAAATATATTGTTCTAAAAGACATACATATGTAAAGTTCAACTTCAATTTAACAACATAAAAATTTACTAAAGAAACCCGAAATTATGGAAGCAGTAAACAAAATGACTTGTACTTTATTAAAATAGGAATAATGTTTTGATTAAATGATATTTAAAATCTATATTCTATAAAACATATTTCTAATGTTAGTTATATAGGCATAGAAATACTACAAAGCACCTATTGAAACAGAGGAAGTATGCAAATCATATATTCCACCAGTTTACAATCCTTTGGTTATCCTTTAGCATTCTGGACAAATAACTGGAGCTCTATTACTAAATCCTCTCAGTAAAAATTCTATTTCTTATTTGAGAAATGCTATAGATGAGACAAAATGTATAAATAACTTTCTTTTGCTTATACTTGGTTTGGGCTGTGAGACTGCTTTTGTGTGTCACCTTGTTAAAAGAAAATCTACCAATAAGTTAAGATTACTCTTAAAATTGTAATTATTTTTCTTTTCTGATTAGTAGCATGATTCATATTTCTCTACTATTACCTTTTCATTTCTAATTGAAGATTAAAAATATTTAAGTCATATTATATTAAAAACAAGTAATAACAAAACACACATGGAAGAGTCTTAATTTCTGGCTTCTAATTCTCTGGGTCTATTGCTGACCAGCTAAGGTACCATGAGCAAGCACAGGACTTTGTTTCCTTATTGAAAAATAGAAAAGGTGCCTAGCTACTTAACATAGGTAATCTGGAGGACAGAATTTTTAAAACATCTGTGATAACACTTGGTAGATTTTAAATGTGTGGCCTTATTAGCATTATGATCTTGTGGCAAATGCCACCATACTGAGTCTGAGAACTGTCTTCAATGCTGAGGACCTAGATTAGTATTAATAAAAATCTTTGTTTAACTTATGTATATAATATCCCTATAATTTCTCTCATGACAGAAACTTTAGTCATAGTTAAGCCATAAATACTTGTTTAGTTAGGATCACTTTAGGATCCCTAGTAGGCTACACATTTATTGAAGGCAGATTTGCTCCTCTGACTCTATATCCCCAGCAGTGCAATCCCTCCAGTCTTCTAAAAGTCTATTGATTTATGTGTAGTAAATTATTTCTAACCAAAGATTATAAAATAGAACTTAACATTATAAAAATTTAAAACTAAACACTAGCTATTTATAATTTATTTAAATTTCACGTTGAGGAAGCATAAGTCTCTGAAAAGGAAAGAACCCTCTAAGCAACTGTAAGAGCAAACAAAAATACACTAAAAATCTTACCCTTTAGTAATGAATTCTGTGGTAGACACAGTTCTCAGATGACCCCCAAGGACAAGTGCCCTGATATAATACCCTCCCTTGTATGTGGGGGGGGGGGGTCCTGGGTATGTGATGGGCTACACCAGTCCTATGATTCCATCATGTTATATGCAAAGGAAATTCTGTAGATGTAATTAAGGTCCCTTGGGCAGCCAACAGGAAAACAAGAACCTAGTCCTACACCCCAAAAGAACTGAATTTTTCTGACAAATGTGAGCTTGAAGTGAAGCCTAAGCTCCAGAAATGAAGGAGCCTGGCTGATACAGTGATTGCAGCCTTATGATAGTCTGAGCAGAGGACCCTGCTAGGTTGTGCCAGACTCCTGAACTAAGGAAACTGTGAAGTAACGAATGTATATTTTGTGTCTAAGCAGCTAAATCTGTGGTCATTTGTTATATAGCACTGAAAATACAGATCTCAATTTTTTAAAAAATCAGCCCCTTTCTTCAACCTATTCCTTGTTCCCTTACTGCCATTCTGCCCTGTTTCATGCAAGTATCCCAAACCCCATAGTGTGTCATTTATATAGAATTCTCATCCTGGTTTAATTTTTGCTTTCTTTAGCCATAATTTTGTATTAATTTTATTTTCTCAATTACTTTACAACTTGTTTCATTTTCTTATTTTAAAAAAATACTTCCTTCTTTTTCTACTTATTTGTATGTTCCATTTTCTATATTACAAATACAAATTGCCTCTACCAGATCTTCATTTTGTAGTTTAATTGCCAAGCAAAAAGCCTGTGGCCAGAAGCTTCCTTTTGCAGCTCTCAACAGTAACTGTGGAATCATGTGAACAGGACAAATAAGTATCCCCTGGCCTACTCTCCCTAGTTCTCTTATATGGGACTTCATTCACAAACTGCTTTTATTCTTGGCCTCCACTTGACATTTTCTGGAGGATGTGGATAGGGAGCATCTAGATTTAGAACTTGACTCAATATCTATCATTCAATCTTTTTATACATACTATGATAGGTACTGTACTAGTTCTCAATGATAAACAAAAGAGTTACAACACTTGCCTTCAGGTGGCTACTAGTCTGTAACCTAGAAACATATAACAATAAATTATAGTAAGTGCTATGAAGAAATAAAACAGAAAACTAAGGATACTGCTTCTGTCTTTAATTTCTGTCTGGAAAATGCTGGTTAGAGCCAATTTCACCCCATGTGTTCTCCTGATTTTTTCTATCAAATGTATCCTAGAAGCTAGGTACTGTTAAATGCCCTAACCTAGATCTTCGACCAAGGTGCTTTCCAGCTTTTACTCAAGAGAAGATATCTGAAAGTAGTCCTGGAGAAATTGACCAACTCTTCCCCATTGGGGAGATTTGGTAAACTTTTTAATGTTCAAGAATGAGTTATCAGGATCTGTACCTCTCACCACACCCCAAAATTAATTCACAATGGGTAACAGACTTAAAACTAAGACATGACATTATAAGAATTCTGGAAGAAAATGTTGGAAAACTCTTATAGATATTGGCCTAGGCAAACAATGTATGAAGAGGACCCCAAAGGTAATCATAGCAACAACAAAAATAAATAAATGGGACCTGATCAAATTAAAAAGCTTTTGCATAGACAAGGAAAAAATCAATACAGTGAACAGACAACCTGCAGAATGAGAGAAAATATTTGCATGCTATATATCCAACAAAGGGCTAATAACTAGAATTGATAAAGAACTCAAGCAAAACTGCAAGGAAAAATCAAACCACCTTATAAAAAAGCGGGCAAAAGACAT